CCTGCATAACCCCATTTTTAATTTTCAGACAAGAACTTTCTTAACTTTTCATTATTATTTCCATTAATACGTGCCCATCTCTTTCTGTTTTTATCCGAAAAACAGAGAAGTGATGACTAAACGATGATGGTAACAGTATTCTACTGTGAATGATCACTTCGGAGAACTCAGCGACACTCATTACCTGAGTAGTAGAAGCGGAGAAGATGTAATGATACATACTTAATACAATATGCATTTCTTCAGTTCATCAGTGGTGGAAAAACACATAACAGGAATACTACGCAGAATTAAATAGGAGGAATCGCTGAACTATTCGTTGGTTTCCATCTCTTGGCCATCTACCGGCTCCATTTCCTGCGGCGCCACATAACGGCACGACTTCTGGCTGCTTGTCGATAAGAAGATGCGATAACAATTGGCATTCGTGAGGCAGTCCGGCAGCGCACCGAGAAGCGCCGGAAGTACGATGAGTCCATGCAGCAAGCCCCAGCAGACTACCAGGATGATCGTTTTGAAAAATACCATCGGCGAGTAACTCTGCAAAATATTTTGAAAATAAGTAGCCAAGACGAATCGCACAGACTGAGTTGCTACGTGAATTAAGCTGAATATGTAACGGTACAAACCCAGTAGCTGTGAACATGCGTTTTGCACACCTCTGCCCAACGGAGCTAGAAAAATGCCAACAAGTTCTGATCTAAATTTTCACGCATTTGTATTTAAAACGTGGATGTAACCCTATAATTCCACATACTTTCCTCCTCTCACTAATCGTTAACACTTCGACCTACTTTCCTCCACTCACTAATTTCTAACAGTCCCACCAAATTCTAAACATTACCTACCTTCTCACTTACTAACTACCATGCCCGTTTTTCCCCTCCATTAATTTCCCCTATATAAACCCCTTCAGAAAACCCAGCTGCTTAGTCTCGGAATCAATGCGTGTCACTGGTCTACCACGTCCTGCCCCAACAAACGCTACTAACTGGCCGCCTCAACACGACTAGCCTCCCTCTTCTGCTCAATAGCTTGTGCGGCGCCCCTCTCGCCATTTTGTTTGAAGATTTTGTTAGAGAATAAAATGCTGACACTCTTCGCTGTCTTCCGCTGCTGCAGTCACAGACCTAACATATGAGTACAAAATTTAAAATCCAAGAGTCGCACATGGCCAGGGAAAATCTTCTTAAAATTTTTATGCTCTTTTTTTATCAAAGTTCTCATGTGTTCGTACGTCAGACCCAGACGTATGTGAGAGTCGTGTTAAAGTGTGTAGATTCGCATACAGGCAGGAAATATGCAGCATTTAGGAAAACTAAAATTTAAACTTCCTCGACTTTCTCTTTACTAAGTCGAAAAAACCGGGCAAATGTCTGAACAATCACAAACAGAAGGGATCTCGCCAGTGCGTATTTTGTACTCTTTCTCGGACTAGGAAAGCTAGGAAGCTAAAATTTGTAACGTAAAATGTATCAAAAAGTCAAAAATTTTAACCAACCTGCAAGAAGACAAGAGGTAATACGCACATCACCGTGGAGGCGGCTGCTTGTATCATTGGCCATCCAACACTTCGTAGGGTGTGTTCCAACTTCTCTCGTGGGCCTTTGATAGGAATTTTAACAATTTGCTTGTTGCGAATTACCCGTCGGTTGGTCAGCTACAAATGGCCAACAGTCTGACAGCATGGAAAAAGACTTAAAGGAATACTGCTGGGCATTGTCGCCTCCGCTGACCACTCAAAACATTCTATTTCCAAATCTAAACTTCATATCACGTATACAGTGCTTATCTCCAACTTCCCTGGCTTATAAAGCTCCACGAGTTCGGCAAATTTTGAAAGTCCATTTGGCCAGAGTTCAGAGTTTTTAATGTCCACTAGAAAAACCCACTTGCCAGGCGTAACTGTGTTCCTGTTTGCCCTCTTCCTCTTCGCTTGCCTCACATCTTCCAATCCTAATCGAGCTAATCAGAAAAGCCGTTGCTAAGAAGTACCGAAACCAGGAATACCAAGACCATCTAAGCAACTGATGTGGGTATAATCCATTTTACTGGAATGTCAAATGCAGCTATTCTAGGCCGTTCGATTCTGAAATTAAGCATCTATACCAAAAAAAATGAAGGCGTAACTGTTGCGCCTTTTACTTGCCTGATAATGATAAGAAACATGAGCTGTGAAATCAACTGATAAGCCAATTGACATCAAAACTGCAGCTGTAGTAACTGGATCGAGATCAAAATGCCACCAGGACAAAAAACCGAACACTCCTGGAGATACAGAGCTTAGAAAAAGATGCGGCGAGACAACGCACTTTGAGGGATCAACACACCCAAACAGCTATTAACCAAATGAACAGCACCTCAGCAGCTTAAAATTTCCAAATACACTAAATAAGAGCTCGCCAAAATCAGCGAAAAAAAGTTTTCTGTTCGTAACGTACCAAGACTTATAGAGGCAATAGCGATGGAGGCAGTAATAACGCTACACGGATTTGGTATGAATACTGCACACACAACTGCCATACAAATCAACGTCAGTGCTCCGGTCTGAAATTTTGCGCCCACTGCTTAATTCACGTATTTAGTAAAAAGCGACCTTGCTTGTCTTGGATCTTGTTTGGAGGTGGAAGTTGCAAACAGGAGCAGGGATTATGGGGGAGATGGACTATGTGGGTTTTATATGCTGGGAATGGAAACTGATGCTGGGGAAGCTAGTAATCTTGAACGTGACACCAGGAATCACACCTAGACAAGAAACGCGGTACTACGATTTTTGCAGTTCCAACCCGAGCTAAAAAATGGGTATACAGTGCGCGTCGATCCGATTTTTAGTAACCGCCCCGATGGTCAGCTTGCGAGCGATCATGGCACATGTATTGTCTCCTGGAAGTACTACAGCCTATTCTCATGGCACAAATGTTTGGCAAGGCTTTAGCCGTTTCGAGATGTCATTGGCGTTTGTTTAAGCACCCAACCTCGTCCCGAACAAAGCTGATCTTAGACCACGATGTTACCTTGCTGATTATCCTACCAACTCTTCCCAAAGTAGAGAATATAGTACTTCCATGACGATTTTTAGAGCATTAAAGTTAACGCAGTTCACTGGAAATTTTCTCGTAATCGAATTCAAAGGAGATGTTCTGAGCTTTACAGCTCTTGAGCCGTTTCATTATTTGACAGAATATTTCACATAAATTTAAACTAGCGAAGAACTCACTTGTATAGCAACTGTTTTCAGACTGAGCATCTGATCCACGAACATTCCATTAGCTTCCCACACCGTCACATTCAGATCCTTTATAATGATAATTATTAATGACAAATGGACATTGCATTTATAATCAACTGAACACTGCATTTGTAATCACTAAAACTTAAATCGTACTGGAAAAGTTATTATTTTTGAGTGCACAGCATCCCGAATTTCGCCTGTTTTTCAAGTTGTTAATATTTTATCTAAGTATGTAATTTTTATTTATGAATAAACCCAGTGAACAAAGTGCAACTTGACTTTTCTTAGCCAGTTAGAATTTGTTAACACACACCTTACAAGGATACCGCACCTTCGATGCTTTTGGAATCTGTGGCCGAATCACATTTTTTGA